TTCATGATTTCAAAACCTACTATACAATAAAAGTAATAAAACCAGCTTGAGACAAGTACAATGACAGGTATGTGGTGGTGTTGTTGCTACTGTTATTGTTAGGTGCCACTGACTCATAGAGACTCTGAATAACACACCTGAAGTTTGTCCTATCCTGTGCCAACCTCATCATGTCTGACACACTTGAGCCCACTGCTCCAGTTACTATATCAATCGATCTCACAGAGGATCTCCCTCTCTTTCAATGACCCTCTGCCTTTCCTAGCATGATGTCTCTTTCCAAGAAATTATCTCTCCAGGCAACATGCCCAAAATAAGTGAGATGAACCTTTGCCTTCGTTGCCTCCAAGAACTCTGGCTGGACTTTTCCAAACATATGTATTTGTTCTTTCAGCAATCCATGAGATAGGGATAGTCAGTGCTATTCTCCAACATCACAACTCAAATGCATCAACTGTTCTGTCATTCTTATTCACTGTCTAGCTCTCAGATGCAAAGCAAGTGACTGAAAAGACGAGGACTAAATGAGGTGCACCTTTTTAATCTTCCAATTGACATCACTTCTTCTCAGTAATCTGGAAAGGTTCTTGACAGCCAACTTTCCCAATGCAAAGTCTCCTGTTCTCCTGACTGCTGGTACCAAGGGTGTTAACTGTGGATCCAAGTAAGATGAAATAATTGACAATTTCAATCTTTTCTCCATTTATCATAAAGTTGCTTTACCGGTCCAGTGGTAAGATTTTTGTCTCATTGATGTCGAGATACAATCCATATGAACGGTTATAATCTTCGATAACCTCACTTTCATCAAGCAAGACTGTATAATCTACATTATGCAGCTTGTTGCTGAGTCTTTCTTCTCAACGTGATGCCACATTCTTCTTCAGAGTCCAGCTTATCAAATGATTTTTGTTCAGCACAGATTGGACAGGTATGGAAAAGGTATGCAACTCTGATGAACACCTTTCTGATTTTAAATTATGAAGTGTTTTCCTTGCTCCATTTGGACAACAGCCTCCTGGTTTAAGTGTAAGTTTATGGGACTAAGGATAGGCAGGAATGTAAACCAGAAATATAACTGAGAACCCAGAAATGAATGCATCTATCTAAGGATAACTGATCTTGGACAAAGAGATGAAATGCATCAAGTGAAGAAAAGACTGCCTCTTTAGCAAATGTTTTTGCTGTACAACATCAAGTCAGAACCAACCCATGGCTGAACCTCGGCGGGTTTTCAGAGACAGTTTAAACATATAGGAGAAGACTGCCAATCTTTCTCCCACCAAGCAGTTGGTAGATTTTCACTACATGCTTTCAAAATTGCAGCAGCTTCTTACCACTAGGCCACCAGAGCTCCTTCTTTAAGAGACAGTGCTAGGAAAATTGACTATCTATGTGGAGAAAATGGAAATAAGACTCACATTTCACATTATATGTAAAAACTAATGCAAGATGCATCAAGAGAGTAAAATCTAAAAGTATAAAGATCACCAAGGCAAAAATTGGGGTAAATTTAAGAATCCCAATCTATGGCATAAACAGACTACCAACTATAAATGAAAATGCATAATCAACAGAGTTAAACAAGATGACTTGACAATTAAATCCTTATATACATAAAAAAACTTCTCCAAAAGAATGAAAAAGAGAACAGATTAGGAAAAAAATATTTTGCAATAGTGTTTTCCAAAATTTGTAACAACAACAACAACAAAAAAAATCCAACAACTCTTTAAGAAAACAAACTCATTTCCCAGTTGAGCATAAATGTGAATAGACATTTCACCAAAGAAGACATTCAGATGGCCAATATACAGATGAAGAAATAATTGAGATCATTAGGTACTATTGTTCTTAGGTGCCACCGAGCCAAGAAATCAAAAGATGAAATCACTGACAGTTTCAATCTTTTCTCCATCTATCACGATGTTGCTTACTGGTATGGTGGTGAGGATTTTTTTCTTCTTGGTAACAGGATACAATCCATATTGAAAGCTGTAGCCCCTGATCTTCTACAGTTAGCTTTTTATGGCAATTTTAGTCTTTGGTAGCTCCACTTTGAGCTACTGTAACAAAATTTTTATTTTAAATACATCCTGAACAAAACCGAAGCTATTTATATGTAAAACTTGAGCTTTCTCCTATCTTGATACCACCTTCTTCATAGAGTCCAGCAAATCAAAACAACTATGAGATATTATCTCACTCCAGTAAAACAAGCAATGTTTAATAAGACATCAAATAACACGTGCTGGTGAAGGTGTGGAGAAACTAAAACTCTCAGAGTACTAGTGGGAATGTAAAATTGTACAACCACTCAAGAAAGCAGATTGACACTTCCTTAGGAAGCTGTGAATAGGCCCTCTGCCACATTAACTGCAAGAATGAAGACCATTCTAGGCAACCAGAGTGTCGACATTCCAGAGAATGTCGACATTATTCTGAAGGGCTGCACAGTTATCTTGAAAGGCCCGCGGGGAACCTTGCAGAGGGACTTCAATCACATCAATGTAGAGCTCAGTCTCCTTGGAAAAATAAAAGAAGAGGCTTCATGTTGACAAGTGGTGGGGAAACAAGAAGGAACTGGCTACTGTTCACACCATCTGTAGCCATGCACAGAACATGATCAAGGGTGTTACACTGGGCTTTCGTTACAAGATGAGATCTGTGTATGCTCATTTCCCCATCAATGTTGTGATTCAAGAGAGTGGCTCTCTGGTTGAAATTCGAAACTTCTTGGGTGAAAAATATATTCGGAGAGTTCGAATGAGACCAGGTGTTGCTTGTTCAGTTTCTCAAGCCCAGAAAGATGAGTTAATTCTTGAGGGAAATGACATTGAGCTTGTATCAAATTCAGCTGCTTTGATTCAGCAAGCTAAAACAATTAAAAACAAGGATATTTAAAAAAAAAAAAAACCCACCCACACACAAACAAGGATATCTGAAAATTTTTGGATGGTATCTATGTCTCTGAAAAAGGAATTGTCCAGCAGGCTGATAAGTGATAGCTAGGAGTTTTCCAGCCAGTTACAGAAATGAAGCCAGTTAAGTCCTATGCATCTGATTTCAAAATGCATCTGATTCTTGTAATAAAATTCTATTAATTTGAAAAAAAAAAGCGAGCTATGAATAGAAATATCACTTGATAACAGCAATCCCACTACTGTGTATACAGCCCAAAGAAATAAGAGCTACATAACAAAATGGCATGCTCATGCTTATTGCAGCACTGTTTCTAACAGCAAAGAGTTGAACACAACTCAATACTCATCAATGGATGAATGGCTAAAGAATATATGGGACAGTCCCATACTGGTGTATTATGCATCACTGAAAAATTATCTTAATGTGTGAACGACATAATATGGATGAAACTAAAACAAATTATACTGAGTGACATAAATTGACCAAAAAAGGACAAATATAAGTCTATTATTGTTGTTATGTGCCGTCAAGTTGCTTGCAACTCATAGTGACCCTATGAACAACAGCCCTAAACTCTGCTTTGTCCTGTGCCAATCGCACTGTCTCAGACACACCCATACTGATTACCCCAGTCACTGAATCAATCCACCTCAAAGAGGGCCTTCCCCTCCTGAGCCGTCCCTCCACCCTCCCAAGCGTGATGTCCCTCTCTAAGGACCAGTCCGTCCCTCCTTACAACATGTCCAAAGTCTGTCAAACAAAGCCTCAGAATCGTAGCCTCCAAGGAGCAGCCCGGTTTAACCGTCTCTAGCATGAATCTGTTTTCTTAGCAGTCCATGGTACACTCAATACTCCTCTCCAGCACTACAGCTCAAAGGCATCAATTCTCCTATATTCCCTAGTCATTGTCCAACTCTCTGATGCATAGCAAATGACTGCAAAGACCATGGCCTGTATCAGACGCACCTTAGTCTCCAGAGAGACACCACTGCTCTTCAGTACTTTGAAGAGGTCCCTAACAGCAGACTTTCCCGTCGCAAAGCTAAGGTAAGGTTTATACACAGAATCAATCTTGTGTGGGTAACAGATGAGAAGAGAGGAAGACTAGAGGAAAATAAACCCAATCATACACACAGTGTAAAGAATAAGGAATACAATTAACACTATTGTGTGTGTTCCTGCCTATTTAAATCTCTTAAGGAACTATCTCAAAGACATTGTCCTAAAGTTCCCTAAATTTGTTTTCTTAGCAAAATCATGCTGAGTGCAGGTGTATAAAATATTGATTCATGGATTCTAATATAAACTCTAGTACATTAAATTTAGACTTAGCAATTTAACAAACACTCCAGATTATTCTCATTACCCAAATTTAGAGCCCCGATGGAATTCTTAAAGGAAAAGCAGGCCAAGAAAGTATAAAAGATCAAAATGCAGAAATAATACTATTTCATCAGGTTTTTCCAGCCCTAAAGCTAGAAAACAAATAGCAGGAAAAATTCCTATTTAGTCCCCCAACATAGCTGTCCTAGTCACAACCTGTTACAAAAGTGGTTTCCCTCTTTTGTTGTTAAGTGCTACTTAGTTGTAACTGACATAGCTGACTCCAAGTGATTTTTCAGAGGCTCTAAATTACACAGAAACAGATGGAGCTCGTCGATAGGAACCGCCAGCCTTTGGTATACTAGCACAACTCAACAGTTAGTAGGTCACCAGAGTTTCCAGTTTCTCTCTAGTACCAAATTACTGGATTGATGTAGATGTAAAAAGAGTCTCAATCTCAACATATTCAGAAAACTCATTAAATTTAAAAGGATGAATCTCTAACGAATATTTAGGTAGAAATGTCCCAAAATTCTAGGCATAAATCGAGATAAGGAAAAGGGTTTGAAATAGGGACAGAAAGGAAGGTTCAAAGTCAGTAAAACTATGGGCTTCACTGGACCAGATATCTGGGCCCCCTCTGCCTGGGGAAGGGAGAAAAATTCTGGATGGACTTTACCCACGTGAGCAGTCCCAAAATGAGATAATAATATAATAAAATATAATCAAACTCATAACAGCCAACTACTTACAAACTGCCTCTTCTTGGAATGCTCAACTCCTTCTGAAAAACAAAACATAAAAATAATTTATATAAAAATATCAACCAGAGTTCTGAAGTCAAAATTAAATAACTTCTTATTGTTATGTACTATATGATTAATTCTTTTTGTCCCTTAAGTTTCAGTGATATAAAGACTATTCAGATTAACTACCACCTCTTACTGACTCTTCTTAAAACAAATATTTTCTCATTAGATAAACCTTCTCGCCAGTACTGATTCCAGATATGGGAAAGGGGGCTAATCAATAACTGCTGAAGAATAAAGAATTCATATGATTAGGATAAGCAAAATTAGGATATTATTATATTTTTAGGATAGGAAAGAAAATTTATCTTTTGTAATTATAAATTATTTTATGTAAATAAACATTGAAAATACTATAGCAAAGAGATGAATGCACATTCCACTGGTGTAATTAAAAAAAGCTTTAGACCAACAGCTAGGGTCCTTGTCATTTGCTCTCCAAATGTATCAAGACCCATCCTCACATGCACCAATCTCCACTTTAGCAACTATTTGGAATTTGTGATTTATTTATTTTTCTCATGTTATTGTTGTGGTGTGCTGTTGATTTGGAATAGACTCATAGTTGACCTTCTAGGAGGTTTTCTGAGGCTATAAATCACACGGAAGAAAAATGCTCATCATCTTTCTTCCACAGAGCAGCTGGGAGATATGAACCACATGCCTTTATCTTTCCCATATGTGTCTTTATATGTTCTTACATATATACTCATAAATAACTGTCTCATGTAATCTAAGATTCTACATATTCGCTTTTGTGGCTTGCCTTTTCAGTCAACATCATAACTGAAAGATTCATTCATTTAGATGCGGTTCACTTGTGTTCATTAATCTTTAGTACAGTAA